TTCGTTTTTAATAATAACGGACGCGCGACAAAAGTGAAAATGACTGGCCAGCAATCGCTAATGCGATTTCATTTTATTGTATTAAGCCGTTGCGCGTAAAATGTCTTTTCAAGTAAAACTTTTGAACGCGTGTTAGTTCTCTGCAACGACGTGTATTTAATCAACCTTTGGCGTCAAATGACATTCCAAACACGTCACTGTATAGTTTGACATGGGAAAAGTACGACGTGACATATGCACGCCACCAATCTCCTTCGTACATTCCGAGCGATGAAAAAGGAAACAACGTGTGTTATTTTGAAATTAAAATATTTTTCTGAAAGGCATAGATTGTTAATCCTTTGTACATTTTGACGCGGGAAACGCATGGCAGGCCAGAAGCCTCGTTTCACGTCGGGAATTCGGAGTAACAATTTATTTATTAAAAATATTTTCATTTCTTGATGGCGTGTGACGTTTTTTTTCATCTCTCTGTGTATGGAGATTCGTGGGAAATTCAATGAAATCTTTATGGAAAATTTCTTTTAATTTAATCGCACGTCAAAGGACTCGTACAATTTTCATTTAATCTTCTCTAACGATATCTCTCTCGTTGCTTTGTATCCATGAAAATTATTAATTTTCAGATTGCGAAATTCTTTTAAATTGATAAATTGATAAATCGAATACGCGTTACAGAAAGCAATCGTCCGTGAATATAGGATTATAGGAATAGAAGGAATATACCAAAATTCCTTATCTAATCCATGTTTTATTCTTTGAAACGATAAAGTAGCTATTTTCTTTCGTCTTGGCATTTGTTCGTCGCTTTACTCGTGCGTAATCTGTTTATTCGCTTTCTGTACTTTTCCTATTTACACCAAGCGACGAATAATTGTAGAATAGTTTTACTTTCGTCCGAAACACTATCTCTTTCATTGTTTACATCGAGCTGTTTTCAGTAGCATCATCTAAAACACTGTCATTGATATTCACCGATATTCCCCTTTGACTCATCGTCTGAGGATTATCAGTCTAAGAAGAATTACCAGTCTTCTATTCTACGAGTTAACATTGAATTTTTTCTTTTGACATTATAAGCTTTTTTTAAACGCACACGCCGAAACCTTTAATTTTAGAGTACTCTATGATAACATTTTTCAAGATCAAAGCGATATAGCAAATTATACGAATATATCAAAGAATGAAGTTTAATGAAATTATTTTGATGATGAAATTATTAGTTTGTAATCTTGAATGTCGAACAGAATGTTGTTTTACGTTTGGAAAGATGATTATTTATAATTTTAAAGTGAGAAGCATTCGGAAGGAATTACGGTTGATCGAAACTTCCCGATAATTTTTAGGAAATGAATAATAGTTACACGTACTATGTTAAAAATACAATATTTCGCGTTATACAATAACGTTACAGAAAAATAAAAATATTTTCTTATTCAAGCAGTATGATTTACAACAGTATTATAGAAACACAAGTTTGCTTTCAATAGATGTAGTTTCATACTTTGGTCTAGCACGACGCATTTTATTTCAATTATGTACGTGTATCGCGTTTAAAGCGTTAACCATCGATAACTAGGGTGAATTATACGTTATATATCTGGTGAAGTAGGATAAGCACGATTAAACCACGGACTGAAATACACGAATATTTAACCAACATTTGATTGTATAATTGCGTTCCCATGATAAATAAACTAGTTAGGAGATTGTATTTTAAACCGTTGAGAAGACCGCTCATTTAATTCATTTAATTAATTAATGATCAATTAAAAATACAATGTTGCGTACGTACAACGGCAAGCGTAAAAGCGTAAACGATTTTTCTATTCATATTTTCATCAAACATAGGAAATACTTAGCGATGCAAAGGCACAATTAAATCGTAAATATTCTAAGAAATGACACTAGACTAATTTCTCTAATTTATGATTCTTCGTTAAATTTCAGAAATCTACTCCATAGAAAGTTCCTTTCGTTAAGAAGGAAATGAAGCGAGATATAATTATATATCTCTTTCCTTCTTGGTTGTTTTTATTCCTCTCGTTTTTAATCGCGATAAAATTCGACCTGCTGTCGGTGTAACCAGTTAGGTCAAACTAACAGAGGATCGTGGCGAACACGGCACGGTCGGCGCACGTTTAATAAAGATAATTCACGAGGCTCGATAAAGTGCGCTTCGAACAGAAAAAACACTTTTTCGTGGCAATTTGTTCGGCGAGACTTATTCCAATTTGCACGTCGTAGCGCGGTGATATCGATTTTTCTCGCGCGAATCCAGCTAAAACTGTCGCGAAATTAACTCGTGGAAAACTTAGCAAGCGTAGTCAAACAGAAAGTCGGTAGAACGAAATTGAATTTACCGGAATCTGTTCGAGAGAGACGCGAATCACACGATTGAAAAACTGAGTTTAGAACGGGACCAAATTTGAACGAATTTCAATATTCAGACGTTATATACATTATGCTGGTATATAAAGTAGTTAAATATATTACACCGTGTCCAGTTGTTGCTCGGTCATTTTCTCGAGACGAGTCTCTGAAAAGCCAAACTGAACTTGCACTCGCTGTATGTCGTTTGCTCGTTCGATGTAAACGCACCTTTACGACGTTGTTCGACAAGTTTCGATAATTGCGATCTTGTCGTATAAAGTTTATAGTTGATCGGTCGCGAAGGAAGTTTGAAGAGATGTGGCATGAATATGAATTGCGAAAAGTAAGGACCGAGAGGATCGGTCAAAGCAGGAAATACGCAGCAATAGCTCAGTTATCGCGCAAACGAGAGATCATCCTATGGTCCATTACGATTCAATCAGACAGAAACAGGAAATGGTCGGCTTCAGTTACGGTGTTCGACCAGCTATTTACAACCCTCGTAAGTTTTAGTAGGGCGTAACGGAACACCGTGTCGTTGTAGGAAATTTCTAAATCATACGCAATTACTGCTCTCCCTCTCGATCTTTTCGTTTTTTAAATTATGCCAATTTACCTCCGTGAAACTTGGTCCTAAGAAATTAGATTGTTGTTGTACTATATCGATTAAGGGAACTAATTATCCAGTCGAATCAATTTTCTACGTCGTAGAGAAGTTACAAGAAATTTTACTGGAAAAATCTCCGACGAAGTTTCAAGATCAATATACAATTACTTTCGACTTTATTACTTTTTAAAATTATAAAAATCAAAGCAAAGATAAAAGCTTATGGAATGATTTTATACAAGCAATGGTTCTCCTCTGTTTGAAATGGTCCAAACAATAGCGACTATGTGTTCAGTACACGTGCGATCGTTCATAAAAACGTAATTAAACTCAGTTTGCGAAGGCATGCACAATGTTTCGCCAACCAATAATCGAACATTCATACAAAAAATTGAAAGGGAAAAATTCACACACGACAGAATGAAAAAGAAAAAAAGAAGAAAGAATATCTGTACGAATTGGATTTATAAACCGTCGAATGATGTAGACATGAAATTCAGAAATGCGAGTACGTTTAAAAAAGCGCGTATACGCGCCGCTGCTCCAATAACGCGTGCACGATCTTTTGAACAAAAAAATTGGACGAAAAAATACACGAAATACGGCGTACATAGCGAGAGGAGAACAAAAATATAGGAAAAAAGAAAGAAAATAAAAATTACGAAAGAGGAGAGGAAGGATGAGTCCGCGAGGTTCGATGAACTCTCGTTGCACGCCGGATAGGAATTAAACTCGGTGCTGCTTGTGCATTCTCGTAGCTCCGATTCCGCGTGGATATCGATACTTTCACCGTGAATCGGCGCGCGCGTGTTTCCACGTGCGTGTACGCACAGGTGGGTCACGTTTCTCGCCTATGCGTCTGCCGCGAACGCGTAACGCACGTTTGCATCGCCACGTGTGTAAGTCGTATTACCATCCATAAGTATTTCGATAGCTTAGTCCTCTTGTAGAGTTTCGCTATTGTGCGCGAGATTGTGTACAAGTCACGATCTATTGCCATACATTTGTACCACAACGTTGCTCTTCTGTTACAGTAACTTTGGTAATAAAATAAATTCGATTTTATAAATAAAGTTTAGAAATTGGCAAGTCGTTTGTTTATCCCATATTGTATACAATTGCAAAATTACAAAGGAAAATTATAACTTACAACTTTGTCAGTCAATTGGTAAACGTGTCGATTCACTGATATCATTAGTTAGTAAATTGTCGTACAAGTGGTGGTGTAATGGAAGAAATTGAATCAGTTTGAAGAGTTTTATTTGAAAAGTAACTTTTATATATCTGCAATAATTTGGAAGCGTGCAGCGTCGGAAATGTTCAAATATTTACACACAGTAGCGTAGAGGTACAGGTAGGCTGTGTGTACGTAAGCTGTGTCGTGTGTGGGTGCGATCGCAAATGTACTAACGCGCATGTACGTTCGCGAATCGTGATTCTCGAACGCAAAAGTCGGTCCGCTGTGACGGAAAACCGAGAGAGCCGTGCACTCCAGGTCTGCGTAATAGCTGGTGTGGCCTTCTGCTACTCGACTTTGGAATACTCGAGCCGAATCGATTCGACAATTCATCGTATCGTTTTTTTTCGCAACGATGCTCGTTATTCAACATAGTCGGAGTTGCCAGACAAAATTTTTAAAAACGTTCAGAGGGAAATTTTCCTTTTTTCTCCCCTATTTTCAGTAGTAGGGACAGATCAGTTCGGTTTAATATATTAGTTTTCGCGTTTCTCTTGCAACAACAAATTACTTAATTCTCATTGACATCGATAAATCCTAATTGTTATTCGTTTAAACAAACAAAGTACGTATCTCGGACGTTTAATAAAGAAATTAGCTAACATACATGGTATCCCAGTTCTTTTTTTCTCGCCAAACGTTGTCGATATATTCTACGGGTCGAGATAAGAAAAAATTTCACATAAACGTATATCTTTGAAGGCATCGTTAAAGAGTTATAACAAAAGAGCGATGTATGAAAGTACTGTAACTATGAGCTACAAAGTATGAATAGATCAGGAATATCTACAGCTCCAATTACATTCCAATTCCATTTCAAAATATTCATCGTTGCTCTCGCTACAAGATTGCCAGCGGCGAAAATTTGATTTTATTCCTCTTTGAAATTCCCTTCTATTAGTTGTATTTCGTTACCATATTCGTAGTTATACTATCGTTTATTTATTATATCTTTATCGTTGAAGTTGAAGTCGTAGAACTATATTACAATATATTCTGAATATCAATAAGTTCGAAAAGTTCAGTAAGTTGTATGCTGTATCATCTGCAGATGTAACTATTGGGGTCTCAGTAATAGTAGTAATATCTTCTGTGTATTGTGTGTAGAGTACTGGCCCCACAACGATGCTATGAGGTATATCTGCTTCAATAAGTTCGAAAAGTTCAATAAGTTGTATGTTGTATCATCTGCAGATGTAACTATTGGGGTCTCAGTAATAGTAGTAATATCTTCTGTGTATTGTGTGTAGAGTACTGACCCCACAACGATGCTACGAGGTATACCTGCTTCAATAAGTTCGAAAAGTTCAATAAGTTGTGTGCTGTATCATCTGCAGATGTAACTATCGGGGTCTCAGTAATAGTAGTAATGTCTTCTGTGTATTGTGCGTATAGTACTGGCTTCACAACGATGCTATGTATATTCTGAATATCATTAGACGTAAATTTCCCAGTCTGTTCATACTTTTGTACCGTAGTAACGCACGCTCGTTATCTTTGACAATGCTTCCAACGATGTATGTTTATATGCGACGTTTCTTTCCTATTTGGACCTGTATAATATACAGACATCGTCTGGCGGGGAAAAACTGGTACACCCTGTATAAAGGTACACCCTGCACACCCTGCTAAAATATTATGCGTCTTACACGTAAGATACTTAATCTTCGAATTCTTAAGACGAAGTAGAAGGTCTCGCACCAACTATACGACACGTAGTTGTACCATGTTTCAACTAATTATGATCATTTTCAAATAGATATAATTCTACGAAGCAGTGCTACTTTAGAGGCTGAAATTTGCTCGTCGTTAATTGATCAGTATCGGTGCTCACATGTTATTGCCGCAATTTCGTCGCAGATGGCTCGAGAACGAATATCCGTGAACAGAGAACAGGATGGAATCGGCACAGCAGCCCATTCTATACGTATCATCGATGCCCGCCGGCTTTTCCGATTTCGATGCGATTATCATGCGATAGATAGCTCGATTTCTCTCTGTTTCCACGATCATATTAATTATGGTATTAATTTCGAAGAGAATTAACTAGCGAGCTAGCCATGGTATAATCGTGCAAACAAGAAGGCAAGTATCTCGCGGTGTTTCAAACGTTGCACACCGTTTATTACACAATATCGGTCTGATATTTTTATTCCATACAATGCCGCTCGAAGAACATCGTTTCCTTGTCCCGCTTTTCCCTTTCTCTTTGATTCATTTTTACTTTTGGACACAGTCAAGAACGCTTCAATCGCGATTTGACATAATTTGAGTCAATTTGACATCTGAGCGTTCTCGTGTGAGCGTTATTTTATGCGAAATTTTATAAATCACAAGGTAAAAGTTACCGATATTAACAAATACACTGCGAATGTTAATCACATCTATGGAAAATTTAAACGTGCAAAGACGATCAGATGGCACGCGATACGTAAAAGTATATAAAATATACAATGCAAAATATTGAGTTACGATACTTACAGAATGGAACAAATTTTTATTCGGATTTTTTCCCCCGGTTTTGTTTATATAGATATTAATTTGCGCGAACATCCGTATCTTCAAGTTTTCTGTCCTAACAAAATTAACAATACAGCAAGCAAGTAGCAATAAAATAGTAAGAAAGCAAGCATACTTTTGTATTTGTAATCTTACGAGTTACAAGTAGACCGATCGTCGTTCAGTTACACGTAAAATTGTAAGAATATAAAAATTGTGAAATTACGGAGGTTCCTTAAGGTTCCGTCCCTTCGTTTGTCTCAAACGTTTATACTCGCCGACTAATTGATTACCTACCAGATTTTCCGCTCCGAGTACCAACTGGCTGAAAAAATACGTTTCGTTCCTCGCTCGTTCCTTTACCTCTACGCTTCTTCTTCTTGCAATCTCTTTTTCTCCTTTTCCCTCCACTCATTCCGAACGTTTCCAGTGATTGATTTTAATCCGCGGTCGAAGGTCTCGTTGCTCGTTGTTGTCGAAATAAATTTCATTCGGCGAACACTCTGTTCTTTGTCTCTACGTTCTCAACGTTCGATCGACCGGTATCTCCTGGTCACGTTCTACGCGCTACGTACGATTTATCGGGGTACATGGAATACCCTGCCGCAAGTAATTAGCGGGAACCGTGTGTTTGGCCGATTCAAAGGGACGATTCGGCACGTTAAACCGAATTTTCGGAGAAATTTCCAGCGAAATACCGAGCAATTTACATGATACCATTTTGCGATCAATTTTCGAGATATCATACGCGTTGTTTGACAGTGTAATAAAGTAGTACGATAAACGGTATAACGAAAACTAGAACCAAACAATAATTTACGAAACAACAATTTTGTTCTATTGTTCGAGTTTCTTAGGTTTCCAGCATCGACGAATATCGGTAATTTCGTTGTCGATAATTTCGCTGTAGATGCTTGTGAATTTATGAGAAATTTAAAAGTGTAGAAACCAAAGTTTCGCTTTTGGTGATTTCCTGATACTGCAATAGCCAATACTTTCCGCCGTATATTACGCGTAGAAGACTTTTTGCGTACGATCGTTACGGACATTGTATTCTTCTATTACGTTACAGCACCTTACGAGGGTGGAATATGGAAAGTGAGGGTTCACTTACCCGAGCACTACCCCTTCAAATCTCCTTCGATCGGCTTTATGAACAAGGTGTACCACCCTAACATTGACGAAGTCTCAGGCACCGTGTGTCTAGACGTAATAAACCAGGCTTGGACTGCCCTTTACGGTACGTATTTACATAATCTGGAAATTTAATCGTAAACCCTCTATAAATCTTACATTGGCCAATAATATTCCAACGTATAATTTCGCCAATCGCGTTTCTCTGTACCGATTCAACGACGATCTTTCTCATTTACTGTTTCAGATTTGTCGAATATATTCGAGTCCTTCCTGCCCCAGTTGTTAACATATCCTAATCCAATCGACCCGTTAAATGGCGACGCAGCGGCCATGTATCTACACAAACCTGAGGAGTACAAGAAGAAAGTAGCAGGTGAGTGGAGAGAGAGAGAGAGAGAGGACTCGTACGAAAACACGAGAAACACACTGTTTTAGTCTGTGTTTACGAGCCTCGTATTCCTTCGGTTTACGGCTTTCTCTGATCGATTATCTCGCGATGGAAATCACGAGACAACTCGTGGCTACGACGTTCGAAGTTATTTTCAACGTCGAACCAAGTATATTTAGCCGGGGATGCAATTTCCTTCTTGATTTCTTGGCAGATTACGTGAGGAAATACGCAACGGAGGAGGCGCTAAGGGACCAGGAGAACAGCGGTACTGAAAACGGGGTGTCGTCCGATAGCGAGTCTTCGATGAGCGACTTCAGCGAGGACGAGGCGCAGGACATGGAGTTGTAACCAAATATTTTACCATCCGTACCCATATCCTTAATCTCGATTTCTTGTAAACTCCGACCGCTCGTCCTACCAAATAGATGCTTACATTTCGAACCTCCGAACCTCACTATCGGTTTAGCTGCGTGGCACACTCGTCACTTTGTTTCGTAGGGAACGTTGAACCGCGACCAGGTTGTCCGTTAACGAATCGGGAGATAAAAAGAAAAGAAAAAAAAGATAAAAGGGAACGCATACGTAAACGAAAGAAGAGAAAATGAAAAGGAAACGAAATTTGAAGGAAAGGAGAAAGTACGAGAACGATGATGTATACGTAGAAAAAAAAGGATATCGCTTTTGAAGTTCTCTTTACGCGAGAGATTGGCGCTCTCGTCGTCGCCGTCGTCGTGTTTTTCAACGAGGGACGTTGACGAGAAAAATGATACGCGCCGTTTTCGAGAAAGAAACGCCTCGTTTTTTTGCATTTTTTTTTTTTTTTGATTTTCTTCTTTTAAATTCACGGCTTTGCTACCGATTGATCGAACGTCGATACCTTCAGATTGTTGGCGATCTGGCATCGATCGAATAGTCGCGAATCATCGTGCGTCGTTGACGTTCCGTTTAACGATCGTACGCGCGGTTGCGCCGTCAAATTCTACGATGAATTATTCTGGAAAAATTGTTTCTTTTCTTTTTTTTTTTTTTTTCGTTGAATATTTTTGTTCGATTATTCCTCCACGTTTCGAATTCTTCGTCGATCTCCCTCTGGTTCTTTCTCTTTCTTTTTTTCCCCTTCCCGATCGAGTCGAGTCAGAAACACAGACAGTCTTGGGGCGTTAAAAAGAACGATGCACGAGCATGAAAGAAAGATCACGTTCGCTCGACAAGTATGTATATCTTTCGGATGTCGTAATTCACATTACGCTTGTTATTCTCTGTCTCTCTGTGCGCTCTCGTTATTCGTACAGGTGCCACGAGCAAGCACGATATAGATCTCGAATCAACATCGATTTCGAATAAACATTCGTTTCACGTGTTTTCGAAAATGCTTGCTCGTAGAGTAACGACTCTTTTGTAATTTGCACGATAATTTGTCACCAGACTATTGCATCGTATTTGAAATTGACAGGATTCGTACGTTTGTAACTACACGAAGAGTCAACGATGCGATAAAACTAAAGAAAAAAAAAAAGCTATTGTTTTCCGCTCGTTTAACGTTCCAACGAATTATTTCTTTTTGTTGTTTGCCGTGGTTCAAAAGATATATCTGGTTATTAGACGATCTCTTTTCTTTTTTCTTATGTTCACAAAATGAATTATCATGCGAAAGAGAAACAAAAAAGAAAAAGCGGAATGGAAAATAGGATACTAGGTGCGTCTTCCTCTTTCTGTTCTGTCATCACCATCCCTGAACGTTTCCCTCGTAGGGCGCAGCAACGAGAAAAGGCTTCGTCAACAGTGTTGAAGACACTGACAAATCTACGATATAAACGGCGTTTAAGTAGCGATGTTAATGTCGGGACATCCCAGCCACAGTTGAAATCTGCACGGTCAACGTTTTTCGACGGAAGGGAAACGATCGAAGACACTGGTCACTTACGAACGACCTCGGCCTCCTGTCTCGAGACACACGCGAACACATCGAACGTACGAATTTTCAGAGAGTTGCGAGAGGACAACGACGCGGCGTACACACCGGAGTTGCGTCAGTATTCGGAAATGGACGTAGATTTCATTCACTCGGGAGGAAGTAGAAGCAATCTGGACACAACCGTCTAACGGCTCATCGCGAAAATTTCTCTGGTGATATTCTCACGATTATTTTATCATAAAAAAAAAGTAAGAAAAGAACAAAAAAAAAAAAAAAGAAAAAAAGAGAAAAAGAAACAAATGACTTTAGAGCAATTAATATTGTTTGTACAAGGATTTTTCTAAACGCATGGTATGAAAAGTTTTTCCAAATTTTTAATCGAAACGAGAGAGTCGCTTGTAAGAGTGAAAAAATGACTTCGTTCGAGCGCCGTGGTGTATGTAATATTTTATTTGCGTGGAATAAGAAAGGATGGAAAAAGGAAAAAAAATTTTTTTTTGATACGATCGATATTTTTTAGAGGTAACTTTAAACTGCGCGTTCATGCAAGTCGTATTCATGCATCGTGTTTTTTCTTTCTTTTTTTTTTTTAATTCTATCGACGTTCGGCTTAATCGAGAGAACAAAGCGCATACGGCGTGAAAGTCTGGGGCAGAATTGGCGAGAAGCAAAGGAAATCAATGGATGATAGAAGAATATCTAGTGGAAGTGAGGAATCGTTTCTTTTTTCCGATGATGCGAAAAGGCTTGTAGCAAACGGGAGGACACGAATTTGTACAAATCTTGGTGCACAATAATCTTCGTTTAGTTGTAACTCGCTTCAAACTGATCTCTCTCCTTTTGCGTGGTTTACGTATATGCAATACGATCAACTATACGTGCAAGTATAGAAAATGATATTTTAGTGCCTTCTCAGGCAGAAAATTGTGCCTTATTACATGGGTCTCTGTAAAAAAAAAAAAAAAAAAAAAAAAAAAAAAAAAAAAAAAAAAAAAAAAAAAAAAAAAAAAAAAAAAAAAAAAAAAAAAAAAAAAAAAAAAAAAAAAAAAAAAAAAAAAAAAAAAAAAAAAAAAAAAAAAAAAAAAAAAAAAAAAAAAAAAAAAAAAAAAAAAAAAAAAAAAAAAAAAAAAAAAAAAAAAAAAAAAAAAAAAAAAAAAAAAAAAAAGAAGAATGAAAATCTTATTGGTAAACATATTCGGTGGAAAAAAAAACGAAGAGCATTAATTAAACAGACACAAACACACACATCGATAATTAAATCAATCGCTTGGAAGAACGTAAAACTAATACAGCGTGTGCTTTTATTTTCGAATATCGAGATAACGTTGAAGAACAATGTTAAGCTTTGTGTAAGTCTTTTTTTTCTCTTTTGAAGAGTGTTCGGCTAGTTGGGAATGCGATGTCAGAGAGAAATATTATTAGAAAGAGAAAAGAAATAGAAAAGAAAGAGGAAAGGATACGAGGATAGAGAATAAATTTTACCAAAAACTGTTTATAAGAAAAATCGAAATTTCTTGTCTGTATTCTTGCAATAGGTTCACTCCTTAGTTTTTAACGAATAAATTTAATATTATCGTTCTATTATTACTCGTAGTATGGGCGCGGTTATCGTTTCATTTATGTCAACGCATCGTTTTTTTATGCGCTTTCATTCGTCTATGATTTAGAGATTTCGCATATTTGATTTCTTATTTTCAATGAGTCGCGAACGTTGTCAAGATTGTCGAATCTTGATAATTCTCCCTTCTTTTATTTATTACGCGGTTTTAATTTTAATTGTGCCAAGGGACGAGTCGTGAAATTCGTAAAAAGCGATAGCCGCGTCCACACGTTTTTAATTGTTACGCAATCTTTCCTTTTTATTTAAGGAAATAGAATATATTTACGTGGAAGTAAAACAAGGAAATGGATAAAAATGATACTGTCATTCAGAATTTACAATTATTTATGATTATTTAAGACGTGCTTTCATGGTATTTTTTCGTACGATTCGCAGTGGCTCTATACGTTGATGAAGTGTATAGCAATGTATTTACTGATTAGAGAAATGATTATTAAAATGGAGTGAAACTGATACGGCGTTTGTATGGCTTATTAGGCATTCACATGCCCTTTCGACGTTTTTCTCAGGCACTGTAACGATATATATGTAAATTATATTTCTTTCATTTTGTCATACTTCTTTTTTGTATCATCTGGTCATTGCGATATACTCGTGAACCTTCTCTTTCAACGAAATTACATTTAGGACGACACACGAAGAAAAATACACAAAGATTAAGTGACGATGATTCAGATTCTGTTCTTTCTATCATCGTTTTGTATTTAGATAGTCCGTTTGTAATTCTGAACAGTAATTTACACTAATTTCTCTCAGTGTTTATCCGTGCTCTATACCTCTCCATGGAATATTCTCTTTACTTCCAAGTAAACTGTTGTAGCAAGCTTTAATACGTTCTCGTTAGCATCTTTGGACGCGTCTTCGGGCGCTTATGTTCTTTTCAAAGATATCCTTAATACTATAAGCAAAAGGATCGAACGGATAACGAAAAAGAAAAAAAAAAAAAGAAAAAGAAAAAGAAATTATAGAAGGAAGAGAGCTTAAGAAACGATAATCACAAATTTTGCGTTCTCGTAGGTTACAGTAATCGAGGTAAAGTCGTATTCACAGATCTCACATTATTACTTTTATACATGTAACATAGGTTTATCGATTAATTATTATGTTATTATTGATCGTATTCGCATAACTCTATTATGTATTATTATGGTTTTACTAACTGATTGTTTAACCAACCGAAAGGATAGTTTTAATAATCATTTTTTATTTTTTTGCAATTGTTGTTTGTCTCTCCTTATGTTTATTACATCTACGTTGTACGTCTTACCGCATACTTAATCTCGTAAGTTTATTAGACCAATTCATTTGTTGTTCCTTCGCGCGCTATCGCTCACAAGTATGGGATCAGTCGTTTAACGAAAAAGGAACTACCTACAGTTCTTATGAAAAAAAAAATACTAATTAATATTTGAACTTTTGTATATTTTAAGTTAGTACATACAATTATAAGAAGAAGAAAGTAAGATTTGGATTAGGATTCATTATGAAAAGAACTTTTCTTCCTCGTCAAAATTTCTCATATTTATGGTATCCCTTTTACAAATTTTTCCAATTATTTCACATTAATTCCTAGAGATGCGTCTAAGACGTTAGATTGGATTTTCCCATTAACTTTGTCCAGTTCATTCCTTAGCAAACTCAATGGAGTTAACGATCGATCGATCGATGGACAAACCACGATGCATAAAGTCTCTTTTCGTCGTATTTTTGTCTCAGGTATTGCTTACAGAATTTCAGAGTACGTTTCGAATTATAATTTTATCGCGAACAAGAACTCTGCTCAATTCGTGATTTTATAAAAACGAAGAACGAACACACATGACAATACAATGCAAGAAGCTTCTAATAAACCAATGTAAGACAAAACATAGTAAACCATTTTTATTTTCTTCCACGAACTGCGAATTTCAAAAGTGATGCGAAACCTTCGAACAGTAGTACGCGAGTCTATATTATGCCTTTCCATTTTAATCGTGCACCCATCGAACGAAGATTCTTTCTTCTCTAAATTATTCCTCCAATTTATAATTCGTTTTATTACTCGTCAAACTTGAAAAAATGACATCGCGTCATCGCTTACGTTCATACGCATCTCTCCCTGTGTTTCCACTCTTTTCCCTTCTTTTTTATTTTTTTTTTCGTGGCGTAGCATCTACGTAAAACGTATATAATGCAAAGGAGTCGTTATCTATGATCAAATTCAACGCGTGTAATTAAGATCGACGATTAAGATCGATATTAGACGACGCAGAGTTACTCGTGACTGCCCAGAGTTATCCGGCGAAATCGCGTTAGCCGTTTTCTCGAGTCGTTGAAAGACGAATGTCTGGCTCGTTTGAACTCGTGCAAAAATGAATGAAACGTACGTAAGTATATGTGGATACACGATCGTGGGACAACTGCAGAAGCAAGCAGTGACGAGCAATGCCATTCGTTGCCAAAGCGAGTGTCACTTCGTTAATTTCCATTCTGGTCAGGGGAGGCGGCCACGTTTCCGCTTTCTTCTGCGAAGAATCAACTGACCGTTCGTTAAATGTTTCGAGTATCGCGATAAGTTTACAACTAAGGTTCATCGTGTTTACAATTTTTCATCGTAAGGCCGCGACGAAGCTGACGTTTTAGACGCAGCTACGGAACCCAGTCGTTTCTTTGTCGGAGCAAGAACAGTCGTACGATAGAATCTGAATATTTTAACGATCGGTCGAAGAAAAACATCGTACGTATGTATTTGATCGTGAAAAAAAAAAGAAAGAAAATTTCGAAATTGTGGCAATTTTAAAATTCAAAATTGGCTGTCGATCAATATACGCACTAATAGAACTGTCGTTTCATTTAATTTTGAAATTAACCCTTTGAAGGATAAATTTAATAAAATTGCAACAAGATAATTACGTTCAATATTTTGTATTTACGGGCACAAACGAATGGTATTTTTCAAGTTCACTTCCACAAGTAGTATATATCATGCTTTTTCCCGTACAATCTTCGATAGAAGAAAGTTAGACCTTCGCGGATAAACTGAATCTTAACTGAATGCTTAAACGAAATTTTACTTTTGTATTTCTTTTCTTGAATTTTTATTTCTATCGAAAAAGTTCCAATCGTTTGATCTAACGAACGATTGTATATAACGTACCGACGACATTAAGCGTTCAAAACGATTCAGTTCATCTAGAAGGGAGTTCAAAAAATATGTTTGCCTATGAAGAGTTAAGCGTTCGTCGTTGCCACGGCTATTCTTGCTCCGTCGTTAAGATTGTCAATGATCGTTTGAGGACATCTTCTCTCGTAACACGTTTCAACGTTTAGTTTTACGATAATCGAATTAATTTTCAGCGATACATCTTCCTCCCACTTTCGGATAAATTCCACCGAGACAAGGAAATAGCAATATTTTTGCTACTCGTTCATAATAACTATATCGTCGATGTTATCTAATGTGTTAATGACGATGCCAACGTACGCATTCGCAATAATGGTTGATTAAAGCTATACAGAACTTATCGTTATCGTACGATTAGAAACGATCGAAGCTAGTTTTACACAAGATACACAACAACGATGCTATTACGTTAACGGAGAATATATTCCATTTGATTCTTTCATCTCCATCTATTCATACCGAGTTCTATTCTGTTTCTTTTCTTCTGTTCTCTTTCACAGTTTTTATGAAACGTTCTATCGAAACTCTTCGTCTTACGATTCAGTTACAACAAGGGCAAATCGTATACGAATTTTTAATGGATATCGAGCTTGCTCGTAGTTGTATATATAGAGTGGTTGGTAACCGGCGGTACAAGCAGAAAGGGGGTGATTCTACGCGAAAAAAGAAGTAGAAAATGTAGAATACAAATTTTTAATTTGAGACTTTGTTTTCGAGAAAATCGACTTTGAATTTTCGCTCGGTACGCGTGCACTTCATCGCGTCTCGTTATAACGGATCTCACTGTAGATCGTTGTCTCGATTGACGTTATTTCTTTAATTTTTAAAATTTTTTAATTTTTATTCTATATTTTCAACTTCTTTTTTGGCGTAGAATCACCTCCTGTCCGCTTGTACCACCAGTTACCAACCACCCTGTATATTAAAAAAAAAAAAGGGAGAGAAGAACCGTTATGAACGACGCATAACGATGCAAAGTTGAATTTTTGCAACATCTTCGTAGACAAATTTCACGATATTATACGCGAAGTCGATATCCAAGATGGTCGGAATAAGGAATTCGTATACTATGAAAACGCGAAATAATGTGTTTAAATGTTTCAGCATAAACGAACGAAGAGAATCGTTGTCAGATTTTCTTCGTGAATGGTCAATAACGTACTTATTGTGAAAAGAACGATCATAGGATTATCGTGAGGGCACGAGCTTGTTATTTTATTCTTCTCTTCTTTCTTCTTTTCAATTTTACAAGAATCGAGATTAAAGTTAAATGGATATTAAATTTTAAGGTAACGAATAAAACGAGTCACGAAATATATTCTCCATTATGCGTCTGATACATTGAAGTACGCTGTAATATTTTGAAATTCGTAAGCGTAGTAGATCTCATTATACGAGATGGGATGCGGTGACGGAAGTTGAGCAACATCCTATTCGATCGTCTGATTCGATCGCCAAATAGTTGATACATAAATGCAATTATATATATATGTGATGAACGATTAAGAGGAAGGTGATGCACAATAACGGATATAAAAGAGAGAGAGAGAGAGGAGGGACACGATAAGAGGAGGGAAAGAAAGAAAAAGAAGAAACATATTTTCTTTTAAGCGACTGTTAGTCGGTGAGTCTTAGTCACGTGAAAGTGAACGCGTTTTATTATTGACTTGTCACAGTCGTTCTGAAATAAAAAAGAACAAAGAACGATTGATCTACGAAGTAAACAAAAATCAGGTTCGAGTATGCAGGGCTTTAAAACTTAGGTACTGCGTCGGTAGAAGTATTCTCAATACGTAGCGTGTAATGTCAGATTAACATTAAGATGCTGAAACATACAAAACACGATTGTCATTAACTCTGCAGTAAGTCAGTCGGTGATACATCGTAATTAAGATTGCGGATTTTTATGCATTTATGGGAAACTTAAAAAATGCGAGAAATTATAGAATGCACGGAATCTGTAAAAATGTTTACAGTACGATATTCGTTATGATATCTAGATTTCGTTTTTCTCTGCTTATGTTTATATAGAAACGTGAGTTCGCATAAACATCCACAGTCTACTCGTAATACTTCGCGACACAGAATCGTCGATAAAAGGAACAAAGAAAAGGAAAAAAGAAAAAAATGTTCTCGTTGCAGTCTAATGTGTTCAATTCAGTTTTCGCAGAAAGTCGTAAAGATACAACACGTGCTATATGTAAACCTGTCGGAACGCCAGCCGACCAACAAACTCGCACGAGTACTGCAGGGTTTACAGGGAATCGAGGTACTTGTTAAAGAAAAAAAAAAAAAAGAAAAAATAAGTAAAGAAGTCAAAGTTAAGCTTTAGAAGAATTAAAAAGAGGAATGGAGCAAAAGAGGAACGTAGCGACGTGGCAAATTTTTGGAGCACTTGTTTGCGAATTTCCGAAAATCGACTTGCTAGTAAAAAAGGGGGAAAAAAATAATAAGAAGATAAATAGTTAAATAAAAGAAAATGAGAAAAAGAAGTAATGTTTTTGGGAACTGTGTCTACGTTCCACGTACAATCGTGAGATCGAATTATTGGTGTCCGTAGAGGTATATATATTTTCTTATTGTATAACGATAATTAGCTCCGCTGCTTCGACACATTAAGGCCTTAGTACATTAAAATCAGTTACATACGAGGGTTTCAATTGTTCGATTTATCGTTCGATCAATAGAAACGATCACGGCGTAAAAAGAGAAGATCATGTATTAGCGAATAATCGTTCGGTGAAGATATTGTCGATACGAACCCGAAATTATCGGAGAATATTAACATACACATATACACGTTCCTCGTTTCGATTCTAATTCGAACTGATTTAAGGGAACTAGAGCCTTAAGCGAGTTGTAAAATTTCCTTAGATATCTATTGTTTTAACGTACGAATTGTCTATGTCTGAATGCTCTCATCAATTAAAATATACACGGTTAAAAGAAGAGAAAATAAGGAGAAAGAACAAACTGTTTTTTCCGATCAAAATATCTGGGAATTTACACAAGTGTCTCCGCACTTTACTCTTTTTAGAAAAAAAAGTAAAGTAAAAAAAGAAAACGAAAAGGAAACATACAAAAAGAGAGAGAGAGAGAGAGAGGAAGAGAAAGAAAGAAGCACGCAACCACGTGGCGTGCTTCTGTTAATATGTTTCGTGGATTTATTAAAAAGGATCACAAAACGTCTTTCTAGTTAGTATAGTAACGATAATTAAGAACTTGCTGATTCCACGTTTTCATGGCTCATGGCGACACAATAAAGAATAACGATGAATACTACACTATTATAAATATTTATTATAAATAAGATATAACAAATATAAAGGATAAATATATTATATTGAATTAATAATGATTGAAGGAGATGAAATTTTTTGGTACAATAAAATGAAAAGATCAACGTCGTTGAGATTATTTTATCCTGAAATTGCACCTCCTTGTACATTATAATTTTATACATTCTTTTTTAAACAACCTTCTTGTCTGCTTCGTTCTATTTGATAGTCTAATACCAGAGAGACGAGATACAGTAGCGATTGTCAGAGTTTTCTAAAATCCTTGCATCATCTTTCTGTCATAGTATAGAAGTAGCTTGTCTCGAAAATAAAACTCGTCTTTCACTCTGCGTTGATAGCTTTTGTTTTAAATATAGAAGAATTTTTAAAGAAATATATCAATAACCCATTTGGTACATGTATAGACATTAAAAGTTATCTGAAACATAATACGTATCATAAAAGGGTAAATGATTACAGAAATACTATTTTGTTTCGTTCTATTTTGATCTTAATTAATGGAATGATTGAGAGTGTGAATATAGTAGATAGGAGCTATCAGTTAACACACTGAGTTAACTGATAGCTCTTGTCCAGTCTATCCGCATCTCAAGATCACGTAGCTAATTTACTAGCGATGCTAGCAATGTGTTTGATACGAAATTAAATGATTTGCGATTGTGTGATTCAACGTTGGGTGATTTCACGTTTCTTATACGAACAACAACTGTTTGCTTCGTAAGAGTAGATATGATAATGAAAGTCAGCTTCGATGACCTTGATCTTGACACATTGTCGTCAAGGATACTCTCCTGAGCAACCTCCAGTAGGTTTTAATCGACGCTCGTTACTCTTTAAAATGTTATTAACGAAAAGCTATCGTTACCACTAGTGTGAATTCTGCTTATAATTATTCCTATGATTATGGCAGCGTATGCGTCAGTACTGGTTACCAGCAATTTCACGGTACTATGCGCCAGCCGAATAAAATATCAACCAAGGACAGAATAGACATGACGGAATGAAATTTTGTATCATAGGTTATGAAATACCGCCTGTCAAAAAGTCAAAATGTTTCTTACGCCCTCTACGATTTTCTACGGCGAACATAGGAATTATCAGAGACGACTCATCAGTGATTATCTCATCCACGAGATACAGAGTAGACGTGACATTTGTAACGTCGGCCTACCGACGTTTTACTGTTTTACCGATACGATTGCCAAGAAATTTTGTTTCCATTGTCACTCCGTATTTGATATCTAAGGTCTGCTAACGCGAGTCCTGTTGTCACCAATGATGTCAGCAACCATCAAAGGGCAAGTTGCATCTTCATGTAAGCTAGCCTCTTCTCTATAGAGAAAACCAGGACATAAAAGGTTTGTATCACTGGGTCTCGCGCCTTTATTTATTCGTTACGAGATACGCCTCGATCATTCGCAATTCGTTAAAGAATAAAGAATATCGGCTAACATATCAATTTGGGTTAAATGTCTCGCAATTTAGTTCATCCAAAATATTAAGGACCGTAGTTGACAAAAAGATTCGAATAAAATTTCATTCTCTTGTCTAAATTAATGCAAAACGATTTTCAGTTTGACCGGGAGAAAACAGGTAGAGACAGATAGAGACGCGCGTGAAGATGCGCGTAAACTGAAGGAAAAGTGTGGAAACGCGTGGAAAGTCGAGGAAACGTGTGCAAACGGAGACGCATGGAAGTAGGTGGAGACGCGTGGAAACATGTGCAAATACGCGTGATCTCGAGGAAGCAGGCGGATACGTGTCTTAGTTATTTTTTACAACGAGCTCAATTTGACGTTAGTTGGTAAATGGATTGGATGGTTGAAGATGCAACGTATTCGCAATTAAATCTCAAAGAATATTATGATATCTATTCTTAGATCTTCAGATCTAAATAGACAGAATCGAAGAAATACATAATACAAAAATACATTATTTGCAATTTCATAGGAAAATTTAGTTTCAATTCAAACCAGTACTCTACTAAATCGATAACGTCGCATGTGACGCGAAAATGGTAAAGAGATCAAGTGACCACCAAAACGTGGGACGGGAAAAAGCATTTCATGTTACCATTGGCTACTTGGTCGATGATGTCACGTCCATTCTGTACCTGTCTTTACCTTGCTGTGTCTTGTCTGTAATAAACAGATGGCAATATGTATCCAAGAATTTCTACAATACCGATGGGTCTATCAGTTGAACAGGCGAAAATGTCTCGTACTCTACGAGTGCTAAAAGATATTCTTTTTCATTATGAAAAAATTATGAGTGAATAAGTAATAAATAATAATATCCATTAACTGATATCCATTAACTGATATCCATTAAAAAAACACTTTTTATGTAAAGTTTTTCAAGGTCGTTTACTTTATCAGCAAACGATGTTTTTCATTATTGCATTAAACAATAATTACTATTTTCACATTTGTGTGTGTTTTTCTAGATAATAGGAGTTATATTATTTCTATACCGATAGAAAAAATTCGAAAATTCACAAAAGTATTTGAACAAGTTGGAGTCGATTGATCATTGGACGATACGCAGCCATATGTAAAGTCGAGGCGAGTCCGCTTCCAGTATTCCAGTCGTGCCAGAACCACCGAGCGGTGCGAACGTTTTTGCTCGTGCGTCGTCTTCTAAACTCTCGTGTATACGTACGCACGTATCGGTGATTTTACGACCATAATCAAGTTGCACGTTTTCGATATAATCAGCGTCGTGAACGTTTCAACCAATTCTGTCTGTGTATCAAACGTAGTGGACGTTTACAAATTCTGTGCAGAAGAGAATCACAGTATCCGTGACACGTACTTACATGAACAACTAGCGAGGCAAAATCACGAACGTTTTCGCCTTTTTCGTTGAGGTGCATCGACGAACCATCGTGAACGTAGTTTGAAATATTTTTGGCCATTCGAGGAACGTGTTCCGGCATTCGTAAGACCGGTGCGTTACCGCACTACGTTCAACGATTTCGATCGACAACGTGAAGTGCTCCGAAAGTGTTGGAACTGGTACAGGCGACCAGAACGTGAGTAAACACGTTTTTTCTTCTTCTCTCGGCTAACGCCGATAGTTCAAAGTACAAATTTCCTTTTATTTTCGTTCCTCCGGCTCATTTTCCTTTGTAATCTTCGATATCTATGAATATTTCTGTATGTTTTACTTGCATTGTTTTTATTCGTGAAATATTTGATTGTTCTATATGTCTCGATAGGTTAGATTTTATTCCATAGGACAAATCGTAAGATGATTGGTGTGCGTGAGAAACGTGTCAATAAGTTTTAATAGATCTGTCAAGTAACATGGGACAGACATTTTTCTTTAGACGACTGAAGGAACGTGCGTGCAGCATCGAGTGCGTGCTTCGATCGTTTGTAATAAGCTCTCCATACTTTTAGGCATCAGCTGACAGTATTAGAACGGGGCTTTTTCAACGGCAGATCCGCTTGACGTTAGCCGCCAAGTTAATTTCCTTCGCGTTCGAATCTCTCGATACTTCGACTGTGGCAAGAGTGTGTTGTTATTCTGTGCGCACACAGTCTATTTGAAGTCGTTGCCAATTAAAGTCTCTACGCCTTTTTGGAGCTGAAATCCTTCCTATTCGTAAAATTCCTGAATAATATTAACAAAGCGTTAATAGCGCTATTGACAATACAAACGACTGTCGCAGCACAGATTTTAAAAAGAAATTAATGTAGTTAAAAATGATTGGTGTCAAGTATCCTATTTATCGTAACTATGCTAGTTTCTAAACCTAGAGGAGACGTTTTAACGATTCTTATCTTTATGACTGAACAAAATCTCAACTATACAGAATTAATTTGTGTATATCTTATTTACTTTAATGTACGATCTAATTTTTGTTTTCAATTATAAATTTTATATACCTATACATAGAATCATCTAGCTAGCTCCTCGATAGAAGGAGCTCCTATCGTGAGCGCACGTACTTAGTCGTTCCTGGAGAATCGTGTAGGATTTATACGATTCGTCTTATAAAAGATTCCACACGAGCGATTTCAATCGGCACGTTTTATTTATCCTCCTTTCAATAGCACGCCACGCTTTACGCCGATCGTGTGTGTGTTATCGCATACGATTTCGGCCGTGAACGCGAAAACTACGAAAATGGAACGTGGAATGAAATTAATTTGTTTGATATTAGGGGAACGCGCGAAATTGATTCGGTTACTACTACTTCCGCTTCGCGGCGATAATAAGCGTAGTCACGATCATTCAATTGTTTCTTTTTGTTTCATTCGTTGTTGACATGCAGTAGCTCGCAATAAGAATCGTTTATTACACTTTTTCAAATTTAATTTAATTTCAACTTTCAAATTTAAGGCTACAGCTATATCGTCGATTAAGATATAGAATTTGCACCAGAAGGAGTCAATACAGAGGAAAATTAAAACCTGTTTTCAAATATTTTACATGAAGTCATTTGCAAGAGGTTATATCTAAATTAATGATATAGTATGATTTTTTTTAGGCTTATCATTAAAATTCTACCGACAACCGAATTATAAAATTTATATCAAAAGAAAATAATGCAAAGGAAAAGATCAAGTCTCTTTTCATGTATTTCACAAGATTTATTCGAATCAAAATTATTACAATAATTTCGTATTACAAAGATGATCATATAGTATATTGTTTAAACAAAGTTAGAAAAATAAAGACAATGAACGATTTGCATCACGAGCCATAGTATCAACGACTGCAACTACCTTGTGCAGCATGTGTACGTTATTTGCATCGCGTTTATCGTAAAAACGTCCACGTAACTTCGTCTAGTAAAGGCCAATGACTTGACCAACTCGATTTCATCTTCGGTGTATCTTTCTCGCATCCTTCTTCCATATTATTGGCGGTAGATTATAAGTGCATGCATATTGTTGCGTCAATGATCGAAACATTCTATTATTAGTTTTATTTCGATGCAAAACGGATATATCGCATTATACATCGTATGCAGCGTGGGTCGAGACGTACACTCGGCAAATCCCGCAAAGGGTTAATGACATTTCGCGCGGGTGGTGAATCGCTTGAACTTCCTTCTTTTCGTGCACTTCGATTTGACTGACCTGGAATCGATATCGCAGAGTATCGACTCTCTCTCATATACTACATTTGCTCCTCTTACGGCAAGAGCCATGGATGCGGAAATTTTCACTTGTTCAATAAACAAACGAGTTAAATATTTCGTTTCTCGATTTTCATAATTATATTACATGAAAAAATCTAGAAAATGTGCAAAGTATAATAACTGTTTTAATATTTAAAATACATAAAATGGTCTTCTATTTAGGTGTCATTCTTTTATTTATATTATTTATACAAATATAAATTTGGAAAAAAATAACTGCAGTTTAATAATTATATTACATTTATTATACTTTGATTATACTTATCATCTCGAGAACTATCAGATTATCTTATGTTTAAATATGAATTATTGTCGTCTGTATAATCATATGAAAATCGCTCGTTCGTGACAACTGCCATTCCGAACTGTTATACCGTACGCAATTGAAAAATGTATTCAATGTATTCAAATATCAGCCATTCATCTCACGTTCGAATTTTTTCACCGATCGCGACAAATATTTTCGAAATTAGTTCATTTCTAGCGATCCGTTAGATAACTTCGAGTTATGAAATTCTCTTTACTTGAATAAAAAACAGCGAAGCGTGAAACGTTCACGGAATTTATCGTATTTTTTTTTTTTAATAGATACTGTTTTTAACAAGCATACATTTTTAGCAGCAATTACGAGATTCGTTTGAGATCTGAAGAAATGTTGTTAGAAATTTATCGATAACGTTTTTATGGAAAATTATATCGATCTTATAATTTTCTACTTATCTGCAAAGTATTATTTCTACAATCCAATGAATGGTATTCAAAAGAACTTCGATTGAAATGATCTTTCAAAATCTTTCAAAATTCTATATATTCGCGAACGCTTTATGTGTTTTTAATTCACGGGAAGTGGATTATTTTCGCAACGCACAGTGAAATCGAGAGCCTTAGGAAGATTTAATGAAACGTTCTATTTTTTACTCTGTAGGGTGATAGCCTCTTTTAAGTTGAGTTCAACGACCTGTCGAGCAAGGTCACATATCATCGTAAACACACCACGAGAGAGGACCCCGCTATATAATCCTTTTTCGTAATGGATACTCAAAATTTCCCGTTTCGATTCAACGTTTAAGATGAAACGGAATATAAACCCTGGTTTTACGTTTGAAGCAACTTAACAAAAAAAAAAAAAAAGAAAGAAAAAAAGAAAAATGCAAAAGAAAAGAACAGAACATTCGATATACGCGTGTACATCTCATCTGTAATTTGAAATACTTCGAAAGACTCGAATTCTCCCGAACCATTCAAATTCCATGCGCATATCAAATTTTCTCCATTGCACGTCACGTGATCCATTTACGCCGATTCGATAACTCCACTCCCATTCGAATTTCAAATATTCGCTCCATTTCCGACTCCATTTCCATTACTATGTTACGTCTTTTCTAAAACGACCTTGTCTAACAGGTCTTTGAACTATTTCGAAAGACCCTCGTCAATCAAAAATAACTCGTTGAAGAACTTGCCAAATGGCCTTGGACCATCTTTCACGTACCCACTAATCAATTTCCCTCTACAAAATTCGAACCACTTACTTTCTCTCTCTTTAGCCCTTTTGGCCACAACCACACAAGAGACAAACTCGAGCAAACTGTATCAATTATTGTCGAAAATGACAACGCGAGTTGGCGCTCGCCATCTGTATGCAGATACGCTAGTTACAATAAATAGTAACTAGAAGATAGTTCTAGGTACAATCGATAGATTTAATCGATAGGTTTAAGATGTTTTTTTGTTTTTATCCCTAGACCATGTAAGAAAGTGCAATAAAGGTTTTTCGGCTCAGAACGGTGTGATAGATTTATCCAAAAAATAAAATAACAGCTATTATGATCCTACCTCTGAATACAGAAATAACAACAATTATTGTATATATCATAAATTTCTTAAACGTTCGAAATAAAATCGTAAGACCATAACATGATCAAAGGCCGGAAGATTTTTTTATTGTTCGATTTTAGTTTTCATGTTCTGATTTTCTCCAGGAGATCAAAATAATACTCTGTAACATTTTTTATTTCTATTCGATACATTTAATATCTATAATATGTTTCTTTTATTTTTTAGCAAAGTAATTCATTATATTACGCTACTTTTACGAGTATATCTGTAATTATATATCTATATCTATGCTCTTAAATATTATATATGTATATCTATACTCTGTAATTATATCGCAGAAGAACTATATGTGTGTATGTAATTAAATTATGAAATTGTAGATCACACGAGGAAATAGGCATCGATTAATGTTTATTCGACGATACATTAAGACACAGATCACTTTCACCGTTCACCATCGTTGTGAGTTAACTTTCGACTATCTAACTATCGGAATACTTTAGCTAAAAAACAAAAAAGAACCAGACACGAATTACGTTTCGTGTATGTTCTTCCTGCAAAAAGTTGTTGTATCTCGTACTGTAAATGCAGGACATCTTAGACGATAAGACAATGATTTTCTAAATCTGTAATTCTGAATTCTTCGTCGCTCCTGCCACACTGTCATAGGGTGAACGTCCAATTTCTTTCGCCGACGAATTCAAGAAAAAAGAAAAAAAAAAATGCTTATCTGGTGTATCTAGCTTGCACGCGCAGAATTACGTGTACGGCAAATATTTATATCGAGGCGGATATCGATGAGCATCGGTGTCGCGTTAAATCGATCGTTCGCGAAGCGTGAGATGCAACTATCGAGGAAGGTAAAAAAGAAACAAAAAGTAGAGGAAAAAGATAGATGAGGAAAGCGTAGGCGACGCGTGTCGTGAAAAACCTTGGCAAAACGAAACTCTATCTCGTTGTAACGCGATATACGACCACGATTCTGTAATCGTATGAAAACTATATTCTCATGAAATGGAATAGTCTTTTATTGTTAAGCAACCGGGACAAATTGAAAAGCGCGCGCGTGTACGCGATTCGCGTCGTCGCATCGTCGTTCCGGGTTCTCTGTCGCTTGAGGAGAGGCCAAGGTGCACGGGCTTGAAATCCGTTTAATTATTGCATTATGCAATACGCTGCTCTGCGGCGACAGATTCGCTGCTTGAAATTTTGATTCTCGCGCGTAGTCCTGGATATCGTCTCTCGTTGATTCAACGCGTTTCGGATTCAACCTCGTGATTTGATTTGATGTCGATATAGAAACGTGTACATGATTCACGAATATGCTTATATCCACAAATCAGTAGATGTACTCGTCGATTTTAATTGTAATTTTCACTAAAGTAAATTTATAAGTCTTTAAACTGTAACTTGGTTTCCTTTGTAATATATATATATATACAGGGTGGTTGGTAACTGGTGGTACAAGCGGAAAGGGGGTGATTCTACGCGAAAAAAGAAGTCGAGAATATAGAATAACAATTTGTCGTTCGAGGCTTTGTTTTCGAGAAAATCGACTTTGAATTTTCGCTCGGTACGCGTGCACTTTATCGCGTCTCATAATGGCTCTCACTGCAGATCGTTGTCTCGATTGATGTTATTTTTTTCATTTTTATAAACATTTTTCGCGTAGAATCATCCCCTTTCCGCTTGTACCACCAGTTACCAACCACCCTGTATATATAAGCGTTAATAAGATTTGATTACAATTTAACTTGATCAAGTATTGATCAAAGTTCGTTTATTCCTTATTGGATAAGATTGAGTAGATCGAGCCGAAAAGACAAATAATACGCTGCTATTTCCATTGCAATACGTTTGATAGGGAAAAATGACCCGTATAAAATTGAAAATAGGTCTTGCGAATTATTTTTACGTTCTCTGTGACTTTCGAACGTTATTAATTTGTATGGTATTGATATTGGATTCGGAATAAGAGAGAAAGTAAAAAGGCTGGCTCTTTCAACGCTCTGTACGATGTTTGATCTTCTGTGCAGAGAAAAAGAGAAGAAACCAGCTATCGAGAGGCAGCACAGAGAAAAAATAGAGGGGACGAGCAGATGTTTCTTTTATTTCCTCGTCGGATGTGCCAGTGATCGAACAATAATCGTCAATTGACTGGCAATTGACGATCTAATGAAACCGTATCTATGCGTCGACAGGCTCTGTTGAAATCTTAAGCTCGTGCTTACAGTTTTTTACGTTATAGATATCTTTATTTCTATTACAACATTTTTAATTAACGTGGTTATGGAGACTTTGGAGTATTTTATCGATGCTTCTTTCGACGATTTCGATTTAAATTCGATTAACGTCTCATTCACAAAGACGAAGAAAGAGAGAAGCAAGGAGAAATAAAAACGAAAGCAGAAACGTAAGGACGGTTTCTGAATATCGTACGTAGTACAGGGTTCATCGATGGTGTTTGTAAAATTCCATTAATCCCATTCATCTTCGATTATCGTCTATGCGTCGTACGAAATTTTTTCAACTTGTAGCGTTGCGGTGAATTAAGAACGTCCGTTTTACAGCATTGAACGCGCTGTGTTTTACGATTATTTCGAGCACAGCCAGCGATTATTCGTGGACTGTATTTTTTCAGACGAAACGTTCACGTTAACGGCCCGTGAACAATTTGTCAGCCGATCATTTCCATATAAAATAGCCATTCTCATTTCAGAACACTGCTAAATTCTGATAAACAGAGGAAAAAGGGACAAAGAAAGAGAAAATATGTAAAGATTGCAGGGAAGGATAGGACAAGTCACATTTTCCATTGTTTTTAATTAACTCCGCGTTTGTACTTTTATCTCGTTTTAATGCTAAACATCAGCCTCTTCGTAATTTGAAATATGTTGTCTCCCCTTATACTTGTACTTCGTCAATTGTATTTTTAGACCTAACAGATCTAACAGTTTAGCTTATTTTATATTACAATATCCGTTTTGGTCACAGAATGACGTTAGAATAAAAGGATGAACGGAAATAATTATCACGTACGTACGGTACAACGCGAAAGAAATACCTTCGAATTCGAGATTATTGGAATATCAAACGGCGTAGGTAACTTAACGAAATAATGCTCGTTTTAATGACTGCTCGGTGAATTCTGGTTATTTTCACTCTGACTTTTTCGAGCCGATTTATTTTCGCGAATCGTTTCAATGGAGATCCAGAGGGAGCTAGAGTAGTGTGATTTTAATTTCTGATCACTGGTATTGTGTATTCTTGGCTTAGTTCGTTCACGCGCGTATGTTTAACGCTGTTCTCGCATCGGCTTGACAAAACGTTCAAAGTATTCTTCAGAGATTAACTGTTAAACACATTTTCACGTAATACTCGTTGCGAATTGTTTAATCGTATTACATCAAGTTCATAAACTCACCGTGAATAATTAAAAGACGTGGCATTTAAATGAAGCACAAGTTGTGTTATTTAAGTTTCTCGTTATATAAAGTTGCATTATAGAGGCAGTAATATAAATGAATGAAAACGGGACTGGTTTTACAGAGATATGTTAATAATAGTAATAAATTTAACGGCGGCTTGTACAGTTTGTTGAATTTTCACTAATTGAAACGGCCTGCTGTACTTCTAATTAAATTTACAGCCTAGTTATGACTTCATTGCGTTCTGCTTTTATTTGTCTATCTAATATTTATATCGTCTATTTATACCGATGGAATATATTATTTGCGTGTATTAAACTCTCAACCAGGAAAGAGTTCATATAACAATAATAATTCTTTTACTCAAAGGTCTGTAATTTTTATGATTTTTTTTGTTTCAATTAATTACAATTAATTTGTATGATTTTTTATTTCTCTGCATGATATCTACATTTGCAAAACTTACCATCGACCTAATTAAGATTCCTGTGACTTTATTAATTTTTAATTTTGTATTTTTAGAGATCTATTATCTCAAGTTTGTTCATTTTTCAAGGTATGTTGAAATATCTCAATTCATCTGCGATTTTTCATCTATTAAGTACAGTTGTATCGAAACAGACTATATATCTTCGATTGATCTGTTAACTGCGTTCGACGAGTATACGAGTTGAACAAAAACTTTATTTCGGTGCTTTTGACGTGTACGCTCGTTGCGTAAAATAAAAAGTTGTCATTTACTATAAAAATTACAAACTTTAGTAAGAAGTAATAAAAATATCGTTTAGTGATATGTTTACTTCACATTGTCCGCAAAACTGCTATATATTTTATGAAGAAAAATTTGATTATCTTCCTTGGTGTATCGGTATTGTATCCGTTTTTACAAACTGTTGATTATTTTTTATTATTTTTCCACCTTATATTGGGTATTTTTGAATATATATAACATACTGTTATAAAACTATATACTACATATATACTACAACTACAAGTACTTCTCCATTGTATAGACGTCATGCGATTGCACTCATACATATTATATATAAAAAGAAAAAAAAAGTAACAGAAAATCAAGCCAATTAAATTTTTTGGTCGAAAGTGTCGGACAAATTATTAAAAAATACCACACTGAGAAGACCAACTAAATTTTCTATATGTCTTTCTAATCTTTTTTGTTTATGAATTCTATTATTTTACTGTAGTCTTGGAACTTTTTACAACGATGCATTTTTCAACGATGAATCGTTAATTTTTTCGAATAAAAATATAAGCCATCGTCGCTTTGCTTTGTTGCGAAATTTATAATAGGAGCATCTGATTCGGAATGGTGGGTATCAATTAATATATACGCTTTAATTAAGAATAAATTAAATGAAATTTTCATCTTTTTATTGATGAGCGTTTAAACGTGACGTTGATTATCCCAGATAAAAATTGAATTTACCTCCGTGACTCATCGTGCGTTCGCGCTGGTCTCGTGGGTTTTTCTATGAATGAACACCAAGAATAGAATGTTGTTGAATGAAGTAACACATTTCACTATGTATTACAAGGAAGTTTGACATAGATATAGAGTCTTGGATGGAGAAAGTAGCTCACATAGGATAGTTGCATATATACATTGGTATCACAGAATAGTTTAAACGCAGACGAGTAGTCTATACGGTAACAATGATCGAGGAAATTGTAATATGCTCTCCAAAGCAATTGGTAGACAAATTACGCGAGCGGATCGTGTCTTGGAGATAAAAGAAAATAGGGCGAGAGAAATTGAAGTTTCCAAACTTTGAAGTTAAACCAGTTAATCTTAATTTCAAATCATCGTGAAAATGTCAGAAATATAAATTGTCGAACTGTTAAATCGCGATTCGGATTTTCGCTATAAAAAAGGTAGAGGAAAGCAGAGCTTTCTAATTGTTAACAGATAAAATTCGAATTAAAATTGAAAATAAATTTTGAAAAATGAAAAAGACATCTTAAAATTCTGTTTATAAAATAATCTTTCCAAGAAATCGTGAACATAACACGTTGCTCTTTATTCCATGGTCCGGATTTCAAACAAAAGTCAAATAGCTTGGTGAAAACGCCGCTCGTATAATAACAAATCGATACAAAATCAAATCGTAATACCCTACGGTGCGTTTCTCTGCGCGGCAAAGTAGTCACGCTGGTGATTCGAATGATTTAATTGCTCAACAATAGAGCTACAAATTGCGGCTGATACTGTCCAGCTATAGAAACCTGCTGCACAATAAACGCTAAACGATCATTGTGTACGATTGACGCGTCGATCGATTGGATATATATTTTATGGAAAAAGAAAAAATTGATTTTTTACTCCCACGATAAGGCCAAGACAAACGAAACTGTTAGGGTTTCGCGCTTAAAAAGCTTAAAATTAAAGCGTTATAAGAGGGATAAAAGGCCGTAATCCATGCTGAATCGTCGTAAGGACACCCACGTTAAGATACAGTGATAACATTCAACCAAGAAATTTACTGATCTTCTAAAGTCTAAATGTTCGGCAAAATGGCACGTAAAATAAACTTAAAAGTTGCTTTTCTGTTTAACCTACTTTTTTTATCTGTTTACTGCTATACTGTAACTGCAGTTTAATGGTTAAAAGTTATGTTGCATTGTGTACTATTATTACGACAAACGTTATATAAATTCGCTTGGATAAGAATTTAACGTTCTGCTTCCCTTTGTCCAGGTTTTTGAATATTAATTAATTACCTAAAACTTAGTTGCTCAGTAATATGTGTACTACTAACAGCTGCGCTTTAATTTTTATGCGTTTTAACAATGTGATTTAGATAGATAAGAAATGGGAAATAATGTTTCAAACAAACACTATTAGTTGATTGCGGATGTTTACGCAGAAATCTACAGGACACACATGATGTACAAAAATATATGAAATATTCAAGTTATAGCGCTGTTTGTGATATTTAATACGCACGACAATTTTCTATCTAAGTTTCATTTATTTCGAATATATTTAGAACGATATGAATTTGTATAAATGTGCGTAGTTTAATTATTACTTAAACCAAGATAGCAGTATCTTTAATGTGAAAGGTCTGCACTTTCAGGAAAAGAATTATCACGTTCGAGTAGCAGTGAATTTGCTATCTCCATTTTAACGTTCCTAATCTATCGATAAAGGAATTTAAAAATTGTCTAGATTAAGAGAGATTTACCAAACGATCGTCTCGAAACAATTGCAATCACGGAAAACATCTAACCGAGAGTCAGTTGATGCTTCGAACCGAGCAAAGTTTCGTTCTGTGCAGCAGCAAATTCTTTTAAGAATTAATTGACAAGCGAAGAGCTTTCCTTTGTTTCTTTTAAATTCGTTGGCAAGACGAACGAAGAGATTCCCTGGGGCGAAGCTATCCGTAATCAAGATGTCTTCGAGGCGAAGGAAGAATGTCGTGGTTATATCTAGAAATAAACTGACCTTCAACCTTAGGCTTACGTGTAAACAGCTAGATATGGGTTCAGTTTTGCAGAAGAAATCGATGATAATGTTCTTGTGGTGGAAAATATGGTGGAAAGGTTTGTGTAGCTGGCGCGAAGATTTAACGAGGTACACAGTTCAACATGATCGAACGATCGTCGAAAGTCAGATGTAGCAGAAATGTTTGCCAACTCGCGTTATGAGACGAGAAGCTAACAGTGGAACGGATTTTCGAACGAGCTTTGACATTAAGGAAGATAGAAGAATTATTTTATTGCTAAGATTATTATTAAACAACTTGGTTCAGTTCGACTAGAAACGTTTCGTTAGGGTTGAAAGAGTTACTTTTTATGAATTTATATATATATATAAGTAAATATAAATATAATATAAATAATATATATATATATATATTTCGTAATTCCTTCTAGGAAAATAAGAAAAAAATGTGGTATAAAATTTTTTCATTATCGGTTTTTGAAAAAATAGAGTTTGAAAATTTATCAAGTGCACTTGAACGTGGCTAATTTAAGGCTGAGCAAAACTAGATAATCGACAGAAGGTCGTTCTACGTATGAAAATAAGTGGGAAATGTAGAACAAAATTTTTCCGTTTAAGGCTTCGTTTTCAAGAAAATAGAGTTGGAACATGGCTAATGTAGGATCGGCCTAGTACATACGTACGATAAATTTTCAGATTTACTTTTCCCGGAAACAAAGGGCCTTATGAACAAATTTTATTACATTTCACAATTTTATTCTAACATATTATTAGGAAATATTATTATTGCATATTCTAGAGGTGTGGCTTCTCTATTATAAAAATTAGATATATTTTGTAAGATCATCCGAATTAATTTTAAAGTTACTTCCTCGATCTTTCAACTTAACATATATATCGTATTTTATAATGTACAAAATTAGCTGTTTGGACTGTTGAATTTCCAATCAAACCTTTTAATAACATTCTTTAACTACAAAACAACTCCCAATAATAATTGATAAATAACCAAAAACCTAATCGAATTCTCCTTAATAAGAAATAATTATTTCAAACCTTCATTTTTCATTTGTCAAAGTGGAAGTTTAGAGAGCAAGCTTATTCCAAGGATAGGAAATACAGGGTAGACCAATTTCCTTCGTTTCGTTTTCGTGGTGGATTCAGTTGGACAGGAGAAAGGTAGCAATTTCCATCGTGAAATCAAGTTTAACCTGACCTATTTCACAAGGATCGCGTAACACGTTGAAAGCGACCGGAAGTCTCCAGGGGGATGCAAAAATTTCAGTTGAAATTGCCTGACTCTGGTCCCAGAGTATAATAATTAGAAATATATGAATCGCAGAGTTAACGAGGCACGTGTAATCCGTCTCGTTTACTCGATTGGGAAATACGATTCATTCAGTTTATCCGGATATTATTCCGGTTTTCATCCTGTTTATAAATCGTTTTACGATGGATCGATAAACAATTTGATGGTAAATAAGCGACTTATATCGTTCAAGAATTGTTTCCATCGCTTTCGGTTCGCTCGTAATAACATGTTTACCCTGGAAATATTAGATGTATAAATCGATTCGCTGCTTTCAGGTTTACGAAAGCTCGTAATAATTGGCTTGGATTTAACAATTGCACCAAATATACCGATTCTTCAAATGACATTCTTATGGCAGTTTTAAAAACGTTCCATCTTTGTTTAGCTAATTCCACGGTGAGTCGGCGGAATAAAAATCGACGTACGTTAATTTTATGAAAACTACCTGCATATTGTTGGTATAATAATGACAAATACAAAATATCTGAAACTCGTTAGCTTAAATTTAGCAATTCTTTTGTAGAACTGTCGATCATTTCGGACAATATAATTATCATCATAATTCCATTATCAAGTAATATATCACTTGTGTTAAGTGTCTCAACGAGTTTCAATTATGATTACAATTACGATTTATGGATTTAGATTTAAATTTTCTATGAGACATGAAATTTGAATGCAATCGAATCGCAGAATTAATATATTATACATGGATGGAAAGTTATCCGCTTCTCTGACCTTTGAATTGTAAAATATTCTATCGCACGTCGTATTTTTCATATTATGTCACAGAAGGTGGTCCTGTTAAACGAATCAGACCTGTATTCCCTTCCGTTAGCTAAGATCCCAGCTGCGAATGGTACATATCCATTGAAAACGATCAACAATCAGACATTTATGATTCTACATATGTCCAAATGCAAAAAATTCTCCTATGAATGTCTACACCAATTTTATAATAAACATCCGTTCATAATTCAAAAGTACTATAAAGCTTTCAACAAAAAGGAAATGAAAATATGAAATTTCGAGAACAGGTTCTGTTGTTCCATTTATAAGTAGACTGTGGATATTTATGCAAATTTATATTTTTATAAATGCAACCGGAAGAACGTATCTGCTAGAATATACCTAATTAATACTTAGGCACGGATTTTCTTTCATTTATATCATATCAGGTGTTTTTCATATTTTGCATAGTTAGTACATATATTTTAGCATATTACGCGCGTTCTCTGATTTTTCGCACCCATAAATTTCCCATAAATGCACGAAAATCCACAGTTTACTACGTTCCGGTTCTCGTAAATCTTCAACCCTTTATTCCATCTTGAATAAAGAAACACTCTCGTGAAGCATCCGGTGCTCCGTTTGTCATCGACGAACAGTAAAGATCGTTTTTACCCCCGTAGGTGTAGCCATGAATAATTCGCTCGGCTAAGAGGTTGAATTTCTACGACTTTGGGGCAGCGAGAGAGAAAGAAAGAGCGAGAGACTCCGAACACAACAGCTTCAAGATGGGCGAGATCCTCGGCTCTGCGAGTTTCCTTCATCTGGGCGACATCGTCAGCCTATACGCCGAAGGCAACGTATCCGGCTTTCTCTCCACCCTCGGGTAAGTTGAATATTCATTAAATTGTACCGACTAATTAGCATAGTTCCGCCGTCGCAAAGCTTCGTTCTAACGCTTCGTTACTTCGTGATAAAGAACTTGTACCTTGTTTTTTTTTTTTTTTTTTTTTTTTTTTAAGGAGAAGCTCTGGTGCGAGTTGCCAGAAAAGTAACGGGGGATTTACTAATAATTAATAAGTCAAGTTTCTCCCGAGAAGTTTCTATTTAACTTGTAATAACGGAAAATGGGGACACGGCTTTAGGCTACGGCGATCTGCGAACATTTCTGGAATCGAATCTTTAAATTTGATGCAGGAACCAAGCTCGAATCTCTAAATTCGATACTTTTACATTTCGATTCAGATTTTTAATCTTCGGATATTTCAAATTCGAATAATTTACAAATTGGCGTTAAATTAGATTCTCGATCTTTTTCGACCATTTCGAAGTCACGTGTCAACAGCAACGATTAATTCTGCTTATAAAACAATGTTTTTACGAAATCGTTAAACCAACACGGTACTCCTTAAGTTTCATAATTCGCGTCTTAAACGAAAATCAACCAGGTGAAAACGTTGTTCGTGTAATAATATGATTTTAGATTCGGACGAACGCTTTCGGGATGGAACATTTAATCGGGCGGGTCAAAGTGTGTACGATAAGAGATTTTCTAGTTTAATATGATATTTTCTGTGTTTTCAGTCGGCTAAGTTTTGGCGGAAGGCAGGGAGCAGAGTAATTTTTCTGAAAATTATGGCGATTATTATAATAGGAATGACGCTGTAGAAAATAGGTCGAGGAGTATGTAGAGATATTTTTGAAGGATTAGAGAAGTCCTAGGAATTTGATTGGAATGCACGAGGAGTCTAGATAGAGGCAATAGTAGTTTGGGTACTTGTAGAAGAGAAGATGAAAGGAAAGGATTCCTTTGTCTGAAGTCTGCTAGTTGGGTTCGTCGATAAGGCTTTGCTCAGCAGATCGTGCTTTAGGCGTAGAGTTGTTTGGATCTGGAGCAGACTTTTCTGCTGGTAGCTATTTGAAATTAGCGAAAATTGTGCCAGATATATTCTGAATGCTTCAAAATTGCTAACAAATTATAATCATCGTTCAACGAATGAATTTATTCGACATATAAATAAAACTAAATGAAATACGGCATTTCAATAAAACTTCTATATTTTTTCAATAAAGTGATCTGTTGGCAAAGTCATATATTAAACGAAAATATATCCAAAAGCTTCAGCCAGTTTTCATCATCACAGATATATTTATTCAGATAAAGTACACATTCCATTTACTTTCTGATAGAAGACAGATTGACCTTGGCTATTACATAATACGCATTTCACCAAGTTGAAGATTACATTTTTTCGAGGATTTATCAAGCCCCTGATACTCTTATTCACGTTCCTTAGATACGAATCATATTCTGGGGAATACTATTCCCATTAGCGTCTTCTGATCTCGAATACTTATCTCGGTGTCACCATTTTACGCTCGATAATTCATTTCCTTATCCGCGCGACATTCCGTCTTCGCGTAGAAGGGGTAGGGACCAGGTTATTTCAATAATCTTAATGCACACGCTATATGTATTCTGAACTCTTTCTCGCGATTAGCATCCGAGACGATTAGATATTCCAAGACAAACATTGGTATCTTGTTCTTTGAAATATTCCTACGCGGTGATTCAAGAAATTCGTAGCTTCGTATGCATTGGTATTCAATTTTATGCATTCTAGTAAGATGTATCTTTTGACGTGTAAGAAACAATAGAAATTTATTCAGCGTTTACATCTGAACTTTGTTAGGGGATAAACACTTTGTAAAATTGCATGGCCATTTGGCTAATCTTAGAAAATTTTTTCCTTCTTATTTAAACCGTTTCTATGATCATGTTTTCATATTGGCAAAATTGAGATTATTCCGCGATTGATTTAAAATGATTGTGATACTCTAATAAAATTGTCAACTATCTTATTCATTTTTACGATCGAGATTGACAAGATAAGAAAGCCCGCTAGCTTCATGTACTCAAAGATTCCAACAAATTTTAGCGATTTAAGCGAAAGGTATATCGTAACGCTAAGAAAACGTTTCAATTTCCCCAATTCTCATGAAATCTCAGTAAAAACCAAATAACGTTGAAAAGGATATAATATCAGGCATAATAGGTCACATTTATATCGAAATAAACGTCACAAGTAAATTCTCAGGATTTTCTATAATCTCCATAATCACAACAAAAAAAGAAAAAAAGAAGAAACAGAGAAGAACAGAAAAGGTGAATCGACTTAACAGTGCCGACAAAATATTGCAAATGATATGTTGGATGAACACGATATTGTCCCTTAATAGATTCAGGAAAATCTCGTATATGTTTACCGGTAGACTATTTTACTCCATGTTACTTTTCCCCGATAATGGTTTAAAGATGCAGATTAACATCGATATGCAGAGATACCCTTTGAAAAGTCTGCGCAGTCGGGTACACGATAGGCGGGGTCGATTACAAAGAGATCGCCTTATTACCTGCTCGTATCGACTCGATCCTATCTTTGTGCTGGCACGAAGCAGCAGCGCGCGGATAATACACGCGAGCAAAGAATAGCATGTGTTCTCCCTCGGTCGAGGGGGAGAATTTATTCGACGGTAGCAGATGCTCTCTGGGTAGCCTGGGATTTATTTGTAAGCTGATTAAATAACTTCCCTTCGCGGACAAGTTGTTGAAACATCGACAAATATCGAAAACGTTTCGAAAGATAAACATTACGATATCGTGAAATTCTCGTTCTGAAACTTGTGCACGGGAACAGAAGCTAAAAGGAAAATCTGTCATCGATTTCCGCATTTTTTCTGTTGCGAAAAGTCGAGAAGAGCAGATACTTTGGACAACTTGAGATTTATTTGATAGCTGGTTAAATAACTTTCTTTCTTTTGTCGACGAGCTATTGGAACAGCGACGAGCATTGAAAACATTGTGAAAAGCAAGTGTCGTAATATCGTGGAATTACCGTTTTGAAATTTCTGGTTGGAAATGGCAGTCACTCGATGGCGTTTGGATCAAATAGAAAAGAAAAATTGGAAAAGAACTGCACTTGAAATATAAGAAAGTAAAGAGACTGTTGAATTTTAAATCGAAGTGAAAGGTCGCTTTGAAATATTTAATTACGAGTCGGAATAATGGACTCACTGAATTTTCGGAATTCTAATTTTATGTCTCGCTTGAATAAAATTTCATTTCCGACTATATTAACGTAGATTCTGCTTTGATCGATTAATTAAACGGACCACCGTATGATACGTAGTAATTTCGAAAATCGACTTGTATTATCGTTTTACATTAATTCGTAATATATGTTTTCTTTTCGATTGAGTCTTGTTCGAGCGTAGAATTACGTACGCAAATACCTGTCGCTTTTTATACCGGAACCGGTCTTCAACCAGTGAAAATTGCCTATAATCATTGCTCCGATTAGCGGTGCAAGGCGACACGGAAAAAAGACGTATTTCACAGAGACCTGCTGTCTCGTGAAATCGATGCACATGCCTTTTTGATGCTCTCCTTCAAAGGGAGTTAAACCTTTTATTGCATCCACAGAGTATCCAACTGGTTGTTTAAACCTTGGTCAAAATTATTTATTCTAACGAAATTTTTGTCAGTGTCTTTTCTCTGTTATTTAGATCCTACAATTTTGCGGAACTCGGAAAGATCGAAGTATTAATAGTACTGTGTTAAACTATTCCGTTTTTAAATGATGGAAATTTTTCCTATTTATTCCAAGGAAACTTTACTTAGCGTCTTTTATCTTCTAGTTATTGTTCCATCTCATATTGTAGATTTTAAGCTTGTTACAAAGTTAATGATTAACTATGTCAAACTACTTTCATTTTAAAATCATTATTTTGTTCTATCTTTGACAATGTGTAACACGTATAATATCGTTGGCTTTCGACCATTTTTATGCGTTATTCTCGCGATAATGAAATTTTATGTCATGTACTTTTTGATAAATGATCTAATAGAAGTAAATTATTTCTTTCTAAAACATTCAACATTAATACATCCGAAAAATGCACAAAATGTGGAATTGGTCAGTTTAACGTTCGCAAGGTTCATGTATGAACCATTTTATGTTTCTTCTGTATAATTTCAGACGAATAAAGTTCTTTACCATAAACGACATTCCCAAGCTAAAAGCCACGTGAAGTTTAATGTTTATTAGTTACATTTTCCTTGTTGGATGAGAGCGGTGAAATCGCATAGACTTAGGAGAAAAACGAGGAAACTTACTTGGCTAGTAAGAAAAGGAGAAAAGAATTATACGATGATGGTTTTGAGAAATTGCTTGACATTTCTCAACGCGAAAGCTGTTTGTATTTTTACATGAGTCTTAAGTAAATGTCAAATGTTAGTTATTTGAACATTTAACAAAATGTAAGAGGAAAGAATCGTAAGAGAAATATCGCAGAAGAATTGTATAAAATTTCTTATAGCGTGAAAGAATTTTGAAGAGAACAAAGAACGAATAGAGGAAATACTATTTGTTTGGTATACTGAAAATTGTTCGATAGCAGAGGATTCAGTTTGTAAATGATTTTGACACGCATCATTCCAAGAGCGATTAATCGCTAAGTTCCATTTAGACTCGCCTGCCACTCGAAAAACAGGTCAGGCACACTTCGCCCACTCTACTGGCATTCACCGGCATGAATGGCCACTTAAATAAAATCTCGGCGATCGAATTCCGCGAATCTGGTTTTGCGAATGGTCTTAGTTCGCGAGCAGGTCTCTGCAATTCGTTATTATCTCCTTTCATAGAGTAAGCCAAAGATAACGTGCTTTCAGCTAAGTAGCTGAGACAAAGAGTGTATATAATATACATATGCGTATGAATTATGACGATGGCACATGAATTTCTTACGTTCTAGAACGTTTTTACATTGTGTTCCTTTTCAACCATCTCAATTATCAATGTTCACGTACAAACTTTGAATATGAAA